AAAAAAAAAAAAAGGAATATACTCACGTGACACTGGGTCTCAGGCAGCGGATTATGTAAGGAGGTCTGGAACCATCACGTGGTTTGCTCACCAAGAACGGAAAAGGGAGACGTCGAGCGAGAAAGACCCGCGAGCAGCAACAGCAGGACCGCCGCAGGACACGAGGGAAAGGGACGGCGGCGGCGACGGCGACGGACGGGACGGGGCTGTGGAGGAGCCAGCGTTGGCTGGGCAGGGGCTGGACGAGGCCAGAGCGAGCAAGGACCGCGCTTCAGAGCCCGTATGTCCAAGGGGCTTGCTTGGATTAGCGGACCGCGAGTGTGCAGTGCAGTCTTCTGCTCCTGAAGCCACACTGCAGCTGTGAAACCGGTGGTGGCCCAAGGATCCCGGCGGTAAAGGCGGACCGCGATGCAGGGCGCCTTATAGGTAGGCAGAATATAGGGACGGCTCTGGGATCGACATCGAAAACCGACTGGGAGCGAGGCCAGGCCGAAGGGCGGATGTGTTGGGGGGTGGTACCGCGAACCAGACATCCATGTTGCCAATAATGCTCTTCTTCCGACTTGCAACATGCTCTGGCATACAACAACTCCTTGCTTGGGCCTCGATTCCCTGAGAACACCGCGCGGATCGAACATCTAGAAATCCGGGCCGTCTTATCTGCATGTGCTGGCCAGGGATACACTGGCTCTCCGCTCTGCCGATCCAACACGAAACCTCCTACCAGCCTTGTCCGGCCTTGTTCCTCCTCCGGAAGCTCAAACTTGAGGCGTCTATAATTCTACGGAGTATTCCTTTCTTCATTTCTTGCCGGGATGAACGGTCGGTGACAGAAAAATTATGTAAGTAGGCGGGTATCTGTTCGGCTACTGGATCGAGGTCCTCTCTCTTTTGTTGGGATGAGCACACTTTTCAGGATTCAGTTCCCGATCTACAAACATGTTCGAGGTCAAGTAGACTCTGTTCCCCGATGGGGGATGGGGTCCGTGGTTGCTGGTTTTGCTTCGGAAATACGTATATTTTTCTTGGACTTCATTCTTATCTACACCTTCAATAATCTTAGCAGACCTTTGGCCGCAAACTACACTAATCCAGCCACTAATGAGTCTTACGCCGTGTCAGGCCCGTCCGTGGAGACAAAGCAACTGCTCTTGAATTCAGACTCCGTTCCAAGCAAGCACTGCAGGGCGATCAGGGAGAGGCCGTGGCCTGCAAGACCTGGTTCCTCTCGGCCGCAACTCAAGGAAGCAAACACCACTTTTTTTTTCAATTCTGAACCGCACTAATCGCCATGAACATACAGAGTAACTAGTTAACAGTTAGGGCATTATTCTCGATTGCAGAATTTTAATGTTAAGATCCGTTTCTTGCATGCATAACAGCCGAAAAGATTTCAAATCCAACCGGGCTCCATACTTTTGAAGGTTTGCACAACTTTTTGCTCAAGAGATATATGCACTCTGTCTGGCATCACGCATGCATGCTCAGGTTCTCATCCCATTCGGCCACGTCTCAGGAAAGCCCGCGTGCTTTGAATTGATTGCCAAAACGACGGCCCTCTTGACTAACATGTCAACAAGGTCCAGGTCTTCAAGTCGTGAGCAATAGTGACCATTCATATTGCCCAAGACAGGTTTTTGCTGCTTACTTATGGAGTAACCCAGCAATAATCTCACTGTTATCGGTTTATCAGAACATGGTCATCTGTTGGCGGTGAACCGAGGACCCTCTTAAAGACATTAGTACTCCTGGGAGGAGGTCGATCGTATGGAGCAAATCTTGCATTTTGACCTGGGAATGAAATGTCACTTCCTGGACTCCCAATGCTATGATCAGCCTGTTAAGCTGACTTCAACTGTGTCACCGTGTTGGGATGTTCTGCAACACCAAATGTGATGTGAAGATCGCCGTTACCTAGCCATGTTTATAACTCCGTACATCTAGATCTTGAGGCCAAACAGTCCATATGAGGCTTTGTGCCATCTCCCCATTGTCCATAGTTGTACTTAGGCTGGCTGATTGTTTGTTGCTTCGTTAGCTTCACGAAGACGAACCATGGGGGCGGCCATGGAGCAATCACGTGGGCGGACCCAGCCTCAGCCCAGGAATGACGACCAAGCAAGCCCGAGAGACAACCATCCAGCCAGAGTTGATCTCGACGGCTCGAGCCTTCGCCTGGCATCGCTATCTGTCCTAGTACTTCGAGACCAGACGGCTCTTCTCTTTCTCAGAGTGTCATAGGAGCAGCCTTGCTTATATGTGCACCTCGTCTCGATCACGGAGAACAATGATATACTGTCTCTCGTCGAACTGGGGTTGATTCATGCACAGCGCATAAGCTCCTTCAGGGGGTATTCTATTTTCATGATCACTACGGAGTACTGCATATCTGTTCTATGCGCGGTGCGTCTCTTTCCCTGCTAATTAGTCAATTCTGTGGGGAGATAGGCCAACTAACACCCAGGTGCAGATATTGTAGTTGCGATTTGTTACATATAGACCGAAACGATGGCCTCGTCGAAACACCTATTTCTCAGTGACGAGGAGCTCGGAAAGAAATATGACGACCATAACCGTCGCGACTCTATATACGGACTATCATTAGGGAGTTTCTGGAGGCGCTTTCCGCGACGAAGGCGCATCGCCTTGGTTTTCTTCGTTGCCTTCGTCGTTTTCATATTTTGCAAACATATACCAACCCGAGTGGAAGATGTCGGCCAAAGATCGCAATTTTTGGATGATCCATGGTTGCGCCCATCCCGTGAAACCAATTTTGGATCGGAGCCAGCTGAAATAGACAGCACACCGGACGAGAATGGCATTAAATATTATCGAGGACCTATAGAGTTCGAGTCGCTGTTTGAATCGCTATATTCAACTCGTAGCTTGAGTTATGATGCAGGTCAGGAATCTGTTATCTTTGCAACTGGGCAACTGAAGTCACTAGGCGATATGCTCCCCGTCGCATGCGACATGGCCGCGAGAAAGCGGAGTTCGGTCCATCTCGCAATTATGGGGCGAGACGAGATCCCCCTTGCTGATATCCAGAGAGCCAATGGATTCAGAGAGGAGGACTGCCCTGTAACATGGCACGGTATGCGAGTTTCAAATCTTTATTCAGCATAGCCATATCGTTTATTCTAATTATATGATTGTAGATGCGCGACCAATTCACGCATCCACATCTAGCCCCTGGCGCCTAGAGTTAAGCGTCAAGGCTGCTTTGGTTCACATGTATCGGATATTAGCTCCTCGAGTTTTCATTACCCGTGACATAGAATTTAAAGAAGCGTTTTTCATCGACGCGATTGAGCTTCGGGCCTTTCAACTGGGAATAACGCATATCAGCTTACCCAGCCCGCTCTCTAATTTTAAATGGATTGCAGATTTGGATGCCTTTTCTCTTGAAGGTACGAAAATCATTTAAAACTCCTAATCCTTGGATTTATGTGTGGCAGCAGTGCTAATGTTGTGTAGCCTGGAATGACGTGCACACGGAAATACTCATTAATGTCCAACCGAACTCTTCAGGGGGCCCCAGGAAACTACTCAGATCTCTCCAAGAGGCAGATTACTTCGGGCCGGCCCCGGGGTTAACCATTGAATTGCCTGTTGATGCTGACCCGACTTTGCTTTACTTTCTCAAAAATTTTCGCTGGCCGCCCAAGACAGCTCACCGTCAGTTTACTCTTCGGCGAAGAATCTCACCCTCTGTCCTGACGTCACAAGAGGCTGCAGTCAGAACAGTGGACTCCTTCTACCCGAAGAACCCCAACCTTTCCCATGTCGTTCTGGTTTCCCCAGACACAGAATTGGCACCTTCCTTTTTCCATTTCCTCAAATATTCCCTCTTGAAGTATAAATATGGCGACAGTGAAAATTCTCCAGGCCACCTGTTTGGCGTCTCCTTAGAGCTGCCCTCTTCTCGTCCAACAGACGGGAAACCATTCTCAGTACCCATGGCTATATCAAGTCCTAATCTGTCCAAAGGGCGGTCTGCTGAGATTCCAACATTGCTGTGGCAGATACCTGACAACAATGCTGTACTGTATTTTGGAGATATGTGGGCAGAATTCCAGTCGTTCCTGTCCCATCGACTATCTACATCTATACAAAAGAAAGGAAAGGACGTCCATAAAGTTATCATGAAATCATACCCTTCATGGATGGACTATATGCTTGAATTCATGCGTGCTCGTGGTTATTACCTTGTCTACCCGGCATTTGCTGTCCAAGATGATCTCGCCATAGCGACGGTCCACAATGAGCTACACCGGCCTCCCGAGGAATATGACGACCCAACCCAAAGACAAGTGAAACCGAACTTTGAGGAGAAGGATCTCGCTCATTCCCCTTCAACCTTGTCTACGTTATTGGACGTCTATCCAGGAATGCTTCCAGACATCCGCGAGCTTCCAGTGCTGCCGTACACAGGGGAACTAACGCACGATGACAAATCCACAAATGAACAAGTTTCGTTTCTTCAAACGTTTAGGAAAGAAATAGGCGGCTGTACTAACAGTGACGAGAAGCCGGAGAGCGTTCCGCTCAAAGCTGATGATCTTTTTTGCATTGAAGAGGAACCGATATCCATAGAGGGTGTCGAAATTTCTGCTTAATAGTTATTTTATCCTATCTAGCAATGCCCAAATATTGTACATTAGTGGCCATGCCAGATTTACTGAATATATATGAATACATAGCCCTATCTGTCCTTGATTCCTTGATTCTATCCATAACACACATCGCAATATAGATTACGTAATCACTCTGAAGCTTCCAGATCCAAAAGCAAACCAAAAACGAGCTTCGGAGAACTAGCAAACCGCTGAACAACATACAACGCAGAACAACCTACCACACCCGCAAGACAACCACCGCGAGCACTGGATCTCTAACATCCTCTGAAAGCTTTGTCAGGTAGGGTTTTTATAGACAGAGCTGCGCTCACTCCTGTATTTGCACCTCCTCTTCAACAGTCACTCCCATGGCGAAGGACGACCTGTCATCCTCCAGTGCTGGGAAGGGCAAGGCAGAGGACACGAAGGAAATAAATGGAGGGGAAAATGAAGGCAAGGATGGGAAGCCTGTTGTGAACGGCAAAAAGGAGGAGGAACCTCAAGAAGGTGCGCGCGGCTTTGTACGCAAGCTGTTTGTGTTGAGTGCTGGCTACTAACTTGCGCGCCAGAGGAACTCAATGAGGAAGACCAACAGCTTAAAAATGAGCTTGAGATGCTCGTGGAGAGATTACAGGTATGTTGAGCTATTGGAGGCTAGGTGTCTTCCAAAGCAGCTGGCACAGTCTTGTGTTAGATGTGATAACCTAACTGGCGTGACCGCATAGGAATCCGACACATCCCTTTACAAACCAGCTCTTGAGGCTATCAAAACCTTCATTAAGACCTCTACTTCCTCCATGACAGCAGTACCGAAGCCACTTAAATTTCTCAGGCCACATTATGACGACCTTACCAAGGTATACGATGAATGGTCGTCTGGTGATAATAAGGTACGGAATCCGCTTTCTCGAATGTACTAGCCTGAAAACTAACCACCCATAAAGGATTCCCTTGCGGATATTCTTTCAGTGCTAGGAATGACATATGGAGTCGAAGACAAACTAGAAACGCTTAAATATCGCCTTCTCGCGAAATCAGACGATCTTGGATCCTGGGGCCACGAATATATTCGGCACCTGGCACTGGAAATAGGCCAGGAATACCAAAACCGGTTGACCGATGATAAGGATGTACAGGATCTTGTGGACCTTTCGTTGTCCCTTGTACCTTACTTCCTCAGTCATAACGCCGAGGCAGACGCTGTCGACTTGCTCAGTGAGCTAGAGATGATCGAGGAATTGCCCCGTTTTGTTGACGAGAATACTTACCCGCGGGTTTGTCTGTACATGGTCAGCATGGTCAACTTGCTCACATACCCAGAGGACCATCAGTTCTTACGCACCGTCCACGACATATATCTCCAATATAAGAAACTTACGCAGGCTATCGTCATCGCAATACGCCTCAATGACCTTGAACTGATTCAGAGTGACTTCCAAGAGACAACGGACAAGGCGGTAAAATACCAAATGGCATTTTTAGTTGCTCGTCAACGGATATGGCTTGAGCTTGAAGATGATGACATGCAACTAGCAGATTGCCTCAACAACATCGCCCTGCCCACTCACTTCAAATCCCTTGCAAAGGAGCTGAATATTCTTGAGCCAAAAATGCCGGAAGATATTTACAAAACCCACCTCGAAAACAACAGAGGAAGCCTTACCAATGTCGACTCTGCACGACACAACCTTGCCAGTGCTTTCGTTAACGCTTTTACCAATGCCGGTTTTGGAAACGATAAGATGATGCTCGTGGACGGGGACAAAGGACCTTGGGTTTGGAAAACGAAGGATGATGGAATGTTGTCAACTGCAGCCTCGCTGGGTATGCTTCTTCAGTGGGATGTCGAGGAAGGTTTGAACCAGATAGACAAGTTCACCTATGCGGAAGAAGACCAAATCAGAGCTGGAGCTCTGCTTGGAATTGGTATTATGAACGCAGGTGTGAGGGTCGACTCAGACCCCGCTCTAGCACTTCTCGGAGACTATGAAAATCTTGAGAACAAGAGCATTCCAATGAGGGTAGCATCTATCATGGGTCTTGGTCTAGCGTATGCTGGATCATGCAAGGAAGAACTTCTTGAGCTGCTTCTCCCAATTGTCGAGGATGTGACTGTCGACATGCAAATTTCTGCCATGGCTGCTGTGTCTCTTGGTATGATCTTTGTAGGTTCATCCAACCACCAGGTTAGTGAGGCCATAGCCACCACGTTAATGGATGAAGAGCGACAAAAACACTTAAAGGATAAGTGGACTCGTTTCATGGCGCTTGGCCTTGCACTCCTCTACTTTGGAAAACAAGAGGAAGTTGAGGTGGTCCTGGATATCCTTAAGGTGATTGAGCATCCCATGGCGAAGCCAACATCCGTTCTCGCGTCAGTTTGTGCGTGGGCTGGAACCGGCACGGTCCTGAAACTACAAGAACTTCTCCATATTTGTAACGAAGTCTTTGAGGACAAGGAAGAAAACAAGGGCGAAGAGCTTGTGCAGTCGTATGCCGTCCTAGGCCTGTCTTTGATTGCTATGGGTGAGGAGATCGGCCAGGACATGGTTCTTCGACAGTTTGGCCATCTGATGCATTACGGTGCTGCGAATATTCGAAAGGCGGTTCCTCTTGCCATGGGACTGATCAGCCCGAGCAATCCACAGATGAAGGTGTACGACACACTTTCCAGGTACAGTCATGATAACGATAACGATGTTGCTATCAACGCCATCTTCGCTATGGGGTTGCTAGGAGCAGGCACCAACAATGCTCGTTTGGCACAACTGCTCCGCCAGCTAGCAAGCTACTACCAACGCGATCAAAACTCGTTGTTCATGGTCCGCATTGCCCAGGGACTGCTCCACATGGGCAAGGGAAGCATGTCCGTGAACCCTTTCCATACCGATCGTCAAGTTCTTTCCAGAGTTGCAGCGGCCGGCCTCTTGACAGTTCTTGTGGCGATGATCGACGCTAAGGACTTTATCCTGGCTGACTCTCACTACCTCCTCTACTACCTTGTAACCGCCATGAACCCACGATTCCTTGTCACTCTAGACGAGGATCTCAAACCTCTCACTGTCAACGTTCGTGTTGGTCAGGCCGTCGATGTGGTAGGTCAGGCCGGAAGGCCTAAAACCATCACAGGCTGGCAAACACAAAGCACCCCTGTGCTATTATCGTATGGAGAGCGAGCTGAGCTAGAAGACGAAGAGTACATCTGTCTAAGCAGTACTCTTGAAGGGCTCGTCATCCTCCGAAAGGTTAGTCTACGGGACCCCACCACCGCTTGCTGAATTTGAATTACTCTGGACGATATATGCTAACAATCTACCCCGTTTTATAGAATCCGGAGTGGGAGGAGAACTCAACATGAGAACGATACATCTGCCCAGCCCTGTATGTATTGTTAAAATTTAAATCCATTATTTTCTGTCCTCGATAAAAATCTGGTTCATGGGCCTGCGGGATCCGTCGGCTGTTCCCCTGATCAAACAGTGGTACCTAGTTATCAGCCACGGGCGCTGAGTGAGCGATCCAATAGAAAGTAGACGAAATGGAAAGCTTCAACTAACTGTACAAAGCGCGGCAATAGTTCTCTAGTAATATACAGTAGGCCAGGCATGCTGAAATTCCACTCTGCATTATTCCAAGGGATCCGATAATATATAGTTTTAGTCAGGCTGTTCGTCCGTGGTTGTTTGTTCCTGTGACCGGGATAAATCCACGGAATGCCCGCGATGCGCGCATGCTGTGGACCCCCAAGCGACCACGCGAAGATTATCAAGGGACTACTCCATCGCTGGCAATAGCCGAGCCATACCCCAAGGCAGCTGACAGCTGACGGCATCAACTGAGTCGGCCGCCGGTTGTCTTTTGGTGATTATCTCGAGTTACACCGTCGTGCAGCAAGCCAATTCATAGCTGGTCACGGGGTATACCTAATGGACAAGCAGGAGACAAATTTGATGGAGACGAGGAACATGATGGTGATGACTGACGATGCTGATGATTAAGGTGACGGCAAAAGGGCTAGAGGCAGCCTGTCCAGCAATAAGAGGGTCCATTTTGGTTGATATATAAGAACGACTCCGAATGCTACTGCCAGACATGCCCTCACAACATCGTCCCCACCACCAACAACCACAACAGTCCCGACATCGCACACGCAGGAAGACACAGGGACGTCTGTATACCCCTTCACCAGCAATTATATACCAGGGACAGGGAATAGATGGCTCCCGTGGCTGAGGAACTTGTTCGGAGAGTGCCTGAGTTTGGGGAGCCGTCTATAGGAGTTGCTATACACTGGGCCGACCCTAAGGACATCCTGTCCGTTCTCTTCATTCTCGGCGGTGATTTTGTAGAACATGCGTTTGCTCAGCTTGTTGGAACTCCAGTTCCACCTGCTGCTTTCTCGTTTGGTAGGCCACGCCAGTTGCCATCATAGTTTTCTTGACTGTTGCTCTCTATAGTTATTATCAGTTGTAGCTAACAGATTTTTGCAGGATGCGTTTCATACGGTTTGAACGCTGTGGTATCAGCTATCGGGAAGAACAGGCTCATGCCCGACACTGATCACCCATGCAAGATCATCAACGGCGAGACAGGCACTTCATTTGACAATACCAGCTGGGTACTTGGACGTTTACTGCGGGATCATGACTACTGGAAGCACAAGGACGTCCACAACCATCTCAAAGATAATATTACTCGAAAATGGGATCAGTTGAAACTTGACAGCATAACCACCCACGGTACTTGTGCCAATGTGAGACAACCTAAGAAAGCTGGCCTCTGTGTATCCATATACAAGGCCAAGGAGGAAGGCCTGGGTCGACCTAAAAGAGATAAATTCGATTACAGCGGCATGCTCACCACGCTCCTTCAACTCTTGCTTCCAGCAGTTCCACTCATGAGAGAAGGTGACTGGTCACCGTTTCTGACAACCCTAACTGGCTCTTTACTGTCTATCATATCAGGTTGTCTGCGCCAATGGCGACGGGAGAAGTGGCCATGTTGCGCAAACTCGGAGAAAACAGTGGTTTTGACAAAAGGTGCCGGGTGCCAACATGCTATTGTCATCATAGGAGATGGGCGTGGCTTCGACCTCGAAGAAATGGCTGTGGGTTCGGAGGAGAGAGATTTACCTTGTGACATCTTTACTAGAGTTGCGGTTTTCATCCTTGCTGTATTCTGGGTCCTGCTTGTTATATTTGCGGCTGGTCTCAAAACCAATGCTTGGTATGTTATCACCGCAGGTGGCATGGGAACCATCCAGAATGCGTACGTCGTTGGAGGAAAACGCACCCCAGAGTCCTTCGGCCTTCCTTTGGAGTTCCTCGACGTTATAGGTGAAATTGGCGTTATGGATACGTTGCTCGCCGTGGAAGAGAAATACCCGAACTTGGGCAGCAGTATGATATCTACCTTTTTTCCTGATGGCCAGATGACGGAGGAATACCATCTGAAATGGGAGGCCCTTCGAGCGAGAGCTGCCCTGCAAGGAGGAAAACCACGCCGAAGCCAGACCATCTAATCTAAACCTTTTAACGTGCATTTTCCATAACGGGAATACGAACATCAATTTCAATTCTTCTCGTCAATATTCTAACGAGGTGCTACAGGGTTTATCCGTCTATTCTCTTGTGTTAGCTGTTTGTTCATTGGATCTGTGAATGGAGCTTATGCTTAGCGGCATCATACTGGAGTCTGAATGTTTACATGAATAGAGTTACGGACTAGAATGAGTAACGAATAACGAACTTCGCAAGACTAGATACGAATGATAACAATCCTTGACTGAAAAAAAAATATTACTGGTCCAGTTCTCAATATCAATATTCCAAGTACGTCCATTGGCTAATTAATCTCAGAAACGCGAGTCAACAAGGAGAATTAATTTCAGCTGCATTGGCTTCATTTCCTGAGATTGATATATACTATCCATGTGAAGTTACAGTTGGTCATTGTAGGGCTGGCAGCTAACGTAAACCACGACGGCGGTATTAAGGCTTACCAGGAACAGTGCGGACTAGCATAATGAAGTTCCACAAGAGTTCCATGACGGTTCCAGAAGAAGGGTGTTTGGGAGGGAGGTAAGGAGATATTTCCCGGTTTCAAAAGCTTGAATAGGAGTGCGTGTATCTAGATATAGGAAATTGCGAATAGTTATTATCTAATGAGTATGGATATGGTTTCATGTACAAGCACTGCAAAGGGCTGAGGAGTGATGGCAGATGATCGACGAGGGTCAGTACGAAAGAGTAAACATGTAAGACATCGCCGGTCAAGCTTGAACAGCTGCTCCTCGTATACGTAAGTACATTTATTCATGAGTAGAGAGAGAGAGAGAGAGAGAGAGAGAATATCCTATCATATTTGCTTTTGGGAGCACAATGGTGGCCACCCCCAAAGTATGGAAGCCGGATCCCTGTGTCCGAGAGTACCCCCGACTTCCTGAAACTGCTCACTCACATCTGACCCTCTATGTATTGATCAACATGAGGTGAAGGTGGGGAGATGCCATGAACCGCAGGACATATTCATCATTTTCCTTCCTCCCTCCCCCATAATCCCCTTTCCTGTGTTGACCACGAACCAGCCATTTTCCACAATGGTCGTAATCAGGCCTTTCTTTCTCGCAGTCCACATGGCCATGCCGGCACAGTCACGTCTCTAATTATGGCTGAAATGATTAGTTACAAGTTCACGCCTCAGCCGCAGCAAATTCATCATCAATTTCCAGGCTTAAATGCCTGCTCCTGGTCCTGATATAACGATCTTCTTCCCCGCTGCCGAGGGCGAGGGGTTTTGAGAATTAACCCCTGGGTATATCATGTTCTTTCGAGCTTTTTCTAGTGAAAGAGGGATACAAGAATGCATCAGTCTTGGTGTAGCAGTTGTATATGTCAAACAGCCTGCCTCTTCAGCGTGGTCACTGGCAGGTCGAGCATCAGAACCAAGGCTGTTTAATGCTTGTCGGTTCCATGTCGGACCTTCAACTCGAACAATGATGCACGGAACCCATCATCTTTTTCTCGACCGCAACATCATCCTTTGCCCTCATAACTTTTATGAAGAACCGATAAGCTTGTCGTCATATCCATGGTAACCTAGTATGTACCTTGGGAGTAAAAGAGGCATTAAGACATGCAGACTGGCCTTCACATGCGAAGAGCCTTGGCCTGCTCTTAACCCCGTCCCACGTTAGTTATATCAACGCAGTTATTATCAACGTCCTGCAGGCACGCCTATTATTAGCTCGTTGTCCGTTTTCTCGTAGTGTGTATGGATATTGGGTAAAAGATTAGAGTCAACAGCGCTGTGGATGGTTTAAAAAAGGCCTCCAAACTCAAAAAATAGAGTTTTCTTGAGATGATATTATATAATGTAAGGTCCGTGCGTGGCCATATTAGGACTAGCGTGGCGCCGGCGTTTCATGGTAAGACGCTAATCCTGTATGGGAAATAGTCGTGCCTCCGGACGCGGATAAATCCGATCCGCAGCCAATCAGAACGCCTCGATGAATTTAGCGCGATATTATTCAACGGTCAAGATCAAGCCTCCCTCGCGATCTGCTCGTTACATGCTCTGGCCCGAAGGATCCATGCATGCCGGGAGCCACTTGGTCAATCGACTAAGCAACCAGAAACCAGGAACCAGTAACCAGTGACCAGATAATATGCGCATGTTTGTCAGTGAGCCCCAATCGGATGGAAGGATTTGGATCTGCAGATCTCTCCAGGAGGAGCTGGCCGTCGGAAAGATCGATAAATAAATAGCTGCATGTCCGCGGCCTGCCACCTACTCCGTGCAATCTATTGTACCTGGCACATATACCATGTCGGATAACCACCTAGGAACTACATGCATGGTTAGTTAACTAGTTATCTAGTATCTGGCCAAAGGTCATCGTGACATGCTCTCGTCCTCTCGATAACCTGCTCTCTGAAGTAAGGCCGAAGCGTGGGTTGATAAACTGCCCCTGAGGATACCAAATTACCAAGGGACTAGTTATACAACTACCTCATTCACCGCACGACTCCAGTCCCTTGATATGCCGGAGAAGTGGCAGCATATACCTTGACAAAACACTTGAAGTCGCAAGCTCTTCTCTTCAGCTACCCAGGGAAGGCCCAGGAGTCAACCTCAACCTCAACTCGAATGTTGAATTGAATCGGAGGGTGATACCTGGAAAATCACCCAAGAAAACGTTGATATTGACTCTCGGGAAAATGAGGATGAGCATCCTACAGTCCAGATGGATTCGGTTATGCATGGGACCTGTACCTGGACAGAGGCAAGATATTCTATCCTTCGAATATCAATAGCACCGCCCTGGTCCCAGGAGTCTCAACCAACATGTCACATCGTTTATACTGAATGCTCCTAGCTCTCCGGACGTCGTCTCGGCTCTTGACAATGCGGGGGCAGATATTACTGTAGGCAGCATTGGCTGTGGAATGAAGGCTGCCAGCTTAAAAGACGATTTTAGCCTCAAAGATGGATGTACTCCATTATCAAGGAGAGATTCACGTGTATCTAGAGAATAAGAATGTAGCTTCATTGCCACCTGGATGGCCACCTCGTTGCTGACTAGAAAGCGTCCGGTAAATAGAGCTACACTCCCACATATTGAAAGATGACTTTGTTGAAGAACGGTCACCCCTTGATCATCTCTTTGCAAAGTACGCAGACAGCTTGCCAACAGGCTTGTCGACAGGAAATGCCCACTGGTAACGCTCCATAAAGGCCCGTATATCCCTGTCCATTGCAGCAGAGACAGCCTGACGCTGGTTGAAGGCCTTCGTCTCGTCTTCATCCACTTCGATGTCCCGCTGTATCTCAACCTCTCCAACCCAATGGCCAAAGTCCGTTCTATCCAACACAACCTCAAATTCCCTGTTGAACCTCCAGGTATCCCGATATGTCGTATATCGAGCCATCACTTCTAGCCCAGAATGTCTCACATCACTGCCATCTCTCTCCGTGGGCAGGAACTTCACTCCAGACACAAGCCGCTGGACCAGCCTGAGCACTTCACCGTGTTCAGACAGCTCTTCGAACCGAGAGTTGGTGAAGGTTGAATTGGTCAGGTCTGTCCGCACTTTGGCCTGCCAGATGCCTTCCCGTCGCCGTATCCAGACGCCGTTCTTGCACAGCTGTTGGTGGTAGTCAAAGTACTGGTCTTCAAAGACACTCTGTCCAATGTTCTCTACATGGTCGAACGATGGCGAGCCCCTGTTGGAACGGAATATTTCTCCTGATTTTGGCCCGCAGGAGAACTTTCTCTCGACTTCAATCACTGCGCGGCGGAGTCTCAGGACGGCGGTTGGGCGCATGATAGCCGGCTTCTAGCAACGCTCTTCTTCTCCTGAAATTCTGGTTTCAGTTCCTTGTTGGTATGAGGTAGCTCAAGATTGAGTGAGAATTGACTGAAAAGATGCCACGGAAAGTCGTGATTATGGGAAACTCATCCGCGAACAAAGAAGCATGGTCGCGGCTCTTAGAGGACTATCATTGTCTAGCAGCCGCTTTCTTGCATCTTCAGGGGATCCGCTAGAGGGGGTCTTTGAACGCTGCAAGTTGCCATGGCTTTACTGTTGTCTTTCATGGCAATCAACAGAACTTCTCCTTGCTTTGCCTGATTTCGCATCCATATCTCTGCAATTTGAGGAATGAGACCTTTGCATCCTGTTGTTTTTCCAACATACCCATGGATTATTTCCCTTTTGAAAGGCCTTTTCATTTTCATATACCCTTAGATTTCATGTTGTTGTGTGGGATACCAAAAGGATGCGGTGTCCATGGAATATTATATATACCCTCTAATCCACCCAGAAAAAGCTCTAAACATCTTAATTTGGACATCCAAATGGTGTACTGGCCATATCTTGAACCCTACTTAGGCTGATATCTGACTTTGTGAAAGAAATCAGTTGACACCATGCCTCTATTCAGGAGTTTCCCTGATATCCCGGCTCAGTCGTCTCAACAGATAGCCCTATACCTTACAATTCTACTATCCAGCGTAATAAGCATACTACTTTCATGGAGCCTACGGCCTGTCAGAAAACGACCAGTGTCCGTGAATTACCATTTCACTTGCCAATGCAACAAATCCTGTGGTTTCTGCTTCCACACCGCGACCACGTCCTTCAAGTTGTCAATACCAGAAGCTAAAAGGGGTCTTTTCAGCCTTAAACAGGCTGGCATGCGGAAAATCAACTTTGCAGGAGGAGAACCATTCATGTATCCCAAATTCCTTGGGCAAATGATCCAATTCTGCAAGGAAGAGTTGCGCCTGGAATCAGTCTCAATAGTCACAAATGGCAGCTTGGTCAAACGGGATTTCCTCGAACGATACGGCCGCTTCATTGACATTTTGGCCGTATCATGCGACTCTTTCAACGAACAAACGAACATCGAAATCGGCCGCGGAAAGGGTGATCAAGTACCACAGCTATTCCGCATCGCTGAATGGTGCCGAGAATATGGCATCAAGTTCAAATTGAACACGGTTGTTTGCAACCTAAACTACCAGGAAGACATGAATCCCCTCGTTGAAAAGTTGCAGCCCTTCAGATGGAAATGCTTCCAGGTCCTTATGGTCCAAGGAGAAAATGATTCCGACAAGACATTGAGGGATGTGCGGAAGTTTCAAATCACTGACCAGCAGTACGAGGAGTTCTGTCGTCGGCACGAGCACCAACCATCCTTCGTTGCAGAGCCGAATAATCTCATGGCCAAATCGTATTTGATTTTGGATGAGTATATGCGGTTCCTGGACAGGGATGGCCGAGAACCGTCAGCGTCTATCCTAGATGTTGACGTTTTTACTGCCTTAGGCCAGGTGTACTGGGACGAAACGAGCTTCAACAGACGTGGTGGTATCTATGACTGGAGCAGAGAAACGAATCAGTCGTCTTGCGGGTCTGGGGATAGCAAGGCCTTGGAATGGTGACACATTCTGTCAAATCTGTTCAAATACTTGTGAAACTAGCACTATCTAGTTAAGCGTTGTTGAGCGTAGTGGTAGTTAACCTTACCCTCGCACAGCCAGAAGAATGAATACATGAAGAGTGAACTGTCAAATTTGCAATGCAGTCCAAGAATAAGAGTCGAGAGAGCCTATGTATATATCTTGTTGTTACATGAAAGGGCAGGGAAGCATAGGAGGCCATCCCCAAATAAAAACAGAAACCCCCAAAACTTCGTAGACACAGACTCCGTTTGTTCTTTCCCAGGATCCCCCCCGCTTACAGATGTGATGTTGATGGTATTAACAAAAGGGATGATTATAGAAATACATGACAAGAATTCTTACAGGCAGAATGGGCTAACGTGGGAGGACCAGCAATAACTCCGTCTAAGGCGATTTTTTTCCCTTCTTTATTTCGTTTAGAGGACACGAGTGATCAAACCCGTGGCAACGGTTCGGCCACCCTCACGGATGTTGAATCGTTGGCCAGCCTCAGCAGCAATGGGGTGGAGGGTCTTGCAAATCATCTCGACGTTGTCACCGGGCATAGCCTTCTTGTCTTGGTCTTCTCCAGGCCAGCTGAAAGATGCGGCTTCGTCTGTGGAAGGGAGTACAAGTTAGTAATGGTCTACTTAGTAGATAGCGGAATCTTGGATTACATACCAGCAGTACGGATGAACATTTGCGGGCGGTACTTGTGGGTGAAGCCGTTGGAACGACCACCCTCAGCTTCAGTCAGGACGTAGAGGGAGACCATGAAGTCGGTATGAGCCTTGGTAGATCCGGGGGCAGCAACAACCATTCCACGCTTCAAGTCCTCACGCTTGATACCTCGGAGAAGGAGACCGGAATTGTCACCAGCTCGGGATTCATCGCAGGACTTCTTGAAGGTCTCGATATCGGTGACCTTGGTCTTGATAGGGGTTGTAGAGCCACCAACAATTTCGACGTCGGAATCCTTCTTGAGAATACCACGCTCAACACGGCCGGAGACGACGGTACCACGACCAGAGATAGAGAACACTTCCTCAATGGACATGAGGAAAGGCTTATCAGTGGCGCGCTCTGGGGTGGGGATCCAGGTGTCGACGGCGTTCAATAGCTCGTCAATCTTCTCGACACCCAGCTCAGGTCGACGGGACTCGAGGGCGCAGAGGGCAGAGCCAAAGATGATGGGGGTCTCCTCTCCCTCGAAACCGTAGTGGCTGAGGAGTTCACGCATTTCTAGTTCGACAAGCTCCAACATCTCTGGGTCCTCAACGGCATCGACCTTGTTAACGAAAACGACGAGCTTCTGGACACCGACCTGGCGGGCAAGGAGCAAATGTTCTCTGGTCTGAGGCCTAGACTGATGTTAGAAACGTCAAATCCTTTCATCCGTAAGGGCGGGCATTCAATTACATTTGACCGTCAGAAGCTGCGACAACGACCACAGCTCCGTCCATGCTGGCAGCACCAGTAATCATGTTCTTAATGTAATCAGCGTGACCGGGACAGTCGACGTGAGCATAGTGTCTCTTGTCGGTCTGGTATTCGATGTGAGCTGAGGAGATGGTGATACCACGCTTTCGCTCCTCGGGGGCCTTGTCAATGGATCCGTAGTCAAGGAAGTTGGCGAAGCCCTTCTCGGCCTGGCGCTTGGTAATAGCGGCGGTCAAAGTGGTCTATGAAGATGGTCAGTTTTCCGTCTATATTGGCTGGTTATTCTTCCCTCCTCTCCATCAGAGGTCTCGAGGTAAGTGTCAAACCTTTCCGTGATCAACGTGTCCAATGGTACCTGTACCAGACGTCAGATTTAAGTCCACCAAGGTCAATTAGATCAGACCAAAGGTGCAGCACTTACCAATGTTGACATGGGGCTTGTTACGCTCGAAAGCAGCAACCATTCCTCGGGCAGACATCCTGTTGTGAGAGAAGACGTACTGCATTGGGTTGACAGCGGACGGCCGCTGTGCGGCGTACTTGCCAGTCCTTAGCAGCACATTGAGGGATCTCTGAAGGGTAGACATTGTGAATGCTCTCCACGACGGGGAAATGCGATATCAAAAGACAAGTTGCTGCTCTGCTCACTTCTATCGCTCAACCTTGAAGTCGTTCGCGAGCAAAAAATCTGAAGCTCAAAAAAGTTTTTGTTGGTGTCAGGAACATGCTTAGTCATGGTCACGTGATACATATGCTGCCCAGGTGCTTGCTGGAGCTTTTTGCAGGGAATCAAAAGACAACGAGAGATATGGAGATCTAGGAAGACAGTAAGGATAAGGTAGCTAGAGATTGGTTGGGAAGCGCAGTAGAATGGTAGACGGTGGGTGGTGGACTGCTGTTAGATCTTGTTCGTTGTCGAAGCCGTGGAAGCTCTAGGTGCATAAGTTTTGATATATTACATCAGTCTGTATTTGTTAGACTGTAGAGGCACATACGTAGATGGAGCCTTAGAACAGAATAATAATAGTACACGATAGGCAGCTTGAAACTCATCACGCCGCAGCCTTCTTCTTGTCTAGAACATATTCCATGTGCTCCATGATTTTGCCTCTTCTTGGTTTCACCTCCGTAACCCCAATCTCAAACAGCTTACTTTCAATGGCAGCCAACACCCGTTGTGCCTCGTCCGGTGTAGCTCTTCTCTTTCTCTCTTTTTTTGTCAGGATCAACGACACTCTCTTGCCCTTGGACAAGAAGGTCTCTAGCTGGTCTAGACGGTGCTGAAGGTCATGAGGGTCAATCGCCCAGTTCAGCTCTATCTGCTTTATCTGAACAGCCGTCGACTTAGGCTTGCTCTCCTTTCCCTTTGCCTTTGCCTTTGCACTCGCGCTGTATTCCGACTTGTCGACAATCTTGCATACCGGAGCCTGGTCTTCTGATCCTGCTCGAACTTGTACCAAGAAGTTTCGGGACCGGTCAAATGAGGCTAACGCAGACTTGAGCGACATGGGCTCTCCTAATTGTCCATTCTCTTGGACCACTCGGACTATCGCACTTCGTATTTCTTCGTCCTTTGGTAGTGATGATCGAGAGGCGGAAGAGGCAGCCGAAGTAGCTGGGGGAGGAGGATAATGAGGTCGTTGCGAGAATTGAGAAACAGGGGTCGCCCGGTAGTATCTTAATTGTCGTGTAGGCAGGGCGTGCAGCTGTCTCGAAGCTTGGGCGGCTGTCTGCGATTCGATTGAGGAGATGAAGGTGCACCGCAGGGCCTGCGCAGCGGAAAACAGAGGCCGTAAACAGGCCATTGTCCTCCAACAGGTACTTCCAAAATAAGGGGAAACAGCTTTATATCTGCTCTATATAGCACTGTCTGCCTCAAGCGGGCTTCGTCGCCAATTCAAGGCTTCTTTTTCAGGCTCTGCTTCGTCTTCGTCTTCGTCTCGTGATGCTGATGTTTGGTTGACCTTTGAAAGGACAAAAAAGTAACATTTCGCGGGCGGAGCCAAGAATTACACCTTCTTGGCATCCCGGGATCTTATTTTAACTCGACGACAAGGAGCAAAAAGTATGGAAATTTCTTTGATTTGATATCAGTTTAGGGGTTCAGGAGGCAAATCGTTAAAAAAAAAAAATAAAAAATCTCCTTATTCTATTTCTGCGTCTTCCCGTCGCTGTTACAAGCTGTTTATTCCCTTGCGAAAGACGAAAGGTGTGTTGAAGTCGACTGGACCTCGCCTTCGTTTCGACCCTTCTCTGGTCCATCTCGGCATCCTCTCTCTTTGCGCACGCAGCAGTTTGCATGTCCGGGGCCTCTGGAGGCAGATCTCACCGTGCAACTTCGTCCACCGTAGATTCAGACCCGAGTTTACACCGGAGAGCCTCTTCTGTCTCCAAACCAACCGATCACGGCCTTGATATCGAGAACATCCCACCTGAACCGATGAAGGGTTCTCCCACCATCGCCCCGATGACACAAAGCCAGCGGTCGAGATACCTGAAAACAGGTGGAATCCTTGCGTTCATACTATTTATAATATACGTGCTCGCCCCTTCATCACGGACGCCGAATCTCCCTCCTCCCGGACCAGACTCAGCGACGAAATGTACAAAGCCGTACGATTCCTCTAAACCTCTCATCCAATATGTCTTGATGATTGATGCTGGCAGCACGGGATCGAGAATCCATGTCTATCGCTTCAACAACTGCGGTCCAACTCCAGCACTGGAAAATGAAGAGTTTAAAATGACTGAGACGAAGGAGGGCGGCTCTGGTCTCAGCTCATACCGTGAGGACGCTGAGGGTGCAGCCAAGAGTCTCGACCCGTTGATGGAGGTTGCCATGAAGACTGTCCCAGAAGAATATAGGTCTTGTTCCCCCATTGCCGTCAAGGCTACTGCTGGGTTGCGAATGTTGGGCAAAGATATGAGTGACAATATTCTTAAGGCCGTCAGAACTCGGCTGGAGACTGTATACCCATTCCCAGTTGTCTCAGAGGCACAAGGCGGTGTCGAGATCATGGAAGGCAAGGATGAGGGTGTTTATGCCTGGATTACAACCAATTACTTGCTTGGAAACATTGGTTCTCCAGAAGAGATCCCAACCGCTGCCATCTTTGATCTGGGAGGCGGTTCTACTCAGATTGTTTTCCAGCCAACCTATAATGGCAAAGGACCAGACGGCCTTCCAGAGAAAATGCCAGAAGGCGACCACAAGTACGCCCTCAAATTTGGTGGCAGAGAGTTTATTCTCTACCAGCACTCCCACCTTGGGTACGGTCTGATGGCCGCTAGGTCCGCTATTCACCGTTACCTCATCGAGACCAAGCATGAGCTTAGCCCTAATGACAAAGGCTGGCTGAAACAGAAGGTGGTGAACCCATGTATTGTTCCGGGGATGTCTCGCAATGTCAGCATTGATTTAGGAGATAACCATGCCCTGGGGAAGGAAGTCGAGGTACTCATGGTTGGCCCCAAGGAATCTTCAGCTGCTCAGTGCCGAAACCTTGCGGAGAAGATTCTCAAGAAGGACGCAACTTGCAACCTTGCCCCATGTTCTTTCAACGGAATCCACCAGCCCTCCCTTCGCAAGACTTTTGCTAAAGAGGATGTCTTCATTTTCTCTTACTTCTACGACCGCACCTCTCCCCTCGGAATGCCCGACTCATTCACTCTCCATGACCTTCATGAACTGACTTCAATTGTCTGCGGCGGCGAGGATAGCTGGGGCGTTTTCCAATCCAACAGCAGCGCCATGAAAGAGCTAAGTGACCGCCCTGAATACTGTTTGGACCTTAACTTCATGCTCGCCCTCCTACACACTGGATATGAGATGCCTCTGCAAAGAGAAGTCAAGACGGCGAAGAAGATTGACGGAAACGAACTCGGTTGGTGCCTGGGTGCAAGGTCAGTAAACGTATCTCTTAATTATATGTCCAAATTCGTATTAATACTAACTTCACAAACAGTCTCCCCCTCCTCAGCAAGAACTCCGGGTGGGAATGCCGTATTAAGCAGATTTCTTAAATGACGGGAAAGAATTAGACTTTAGACCTCGTCTTTTGTTGTCACAAGATTTTTATAAATATCACCTTTTAATGAAAGCACCTGAAACCGAGAAAAATAATTGGATGACCATTAAGTTGTTATGCTATGATGCGCAAGGGAATATATTCTTGAAGAATTTTCCTGCCCTCCCCCGATTTATACCTTTTCTTCCTCTGGGGGTTACGCGAGTGCTCATTGGGTTTTATGTCCACTTTCTTATATCGTTACCCCCTTATATTTTTGTGCAGCGGTACGATTGTCTTTACCATTAGCTAGAATGCCATTTTCCCCATTCTCTTTCTGAAACGACCAAACCCGCCTCCAGTAATTGCCTACGTTGAGTGTAAGTAGATTTGCTGGATCCAAGCAGTAATACTGTTTGCCAGGCGAAAATCCTTGAATCGATCTGCCGTCAATATTACACGTGAATAATTGAAGAGTGGACTCGTGGAGTATAGATGATGTTTAAAATGGCGTTTTGTTGATGACAATGGAAATCAGGTCAAGACCCTAGATCCTCGATTTTCGGCTTTTGCAGGTCGGATTCCTTTCCCATAAGTTTGTCAATAACGTTTTGTTCTTTTTTCGGGTCTATACTTTCGGGACTTTCGCTGCCTGCATCACTATGTTCATCACTGTCTTCTCCCTTTTCTTGAAGCACGCCTAAACCAAGATTCTACCGTGATAGTTAGCTATATGTATCATCTCTGTTGGTAGAGCGGTCAGACTGGTATCTTACCATTTCAATAAGCTGACCCTGCCCCTCATCTTCGTTGTCCACCTCAAGAGTCATTGACTTTCCGGCAGCGATTTCTCGTTCCAGGTCTTCATTCGCCGCCTTTAGAGATGGTAAAAAACTTGCAAGTCTTGCACGTAGGGCTGAGTTGTCTGGAAGACTGGAAAACTGTCTCGAAGGTATAGAAGGACCAGGTTGATCATCCATTTGTTCATCATCGTCAGACTTTTCCTCGTCTGAGCTTTCTCCAGCTTTAGAATCCGAATCTGAATCATCAGAAGATCCAGAAGATGATGTTGGCTCCGAGTCTGTCGATTCTGGTGATGAAAATTTGGAGGCCTCTTTTCTTGTTAGGTTTGCGACAGAATCGCCAGAGCCACGATTTATGCCATCCAACTGGCCTTTATCACAGAGAGTCAATGATTCAGACGCTTTTTTCGCCTCTTTCGACGAAGAAGACATTCTTGATGGATTAACGCGCAGCGGATAAGGGTATGGACAGTAAGTAAGAGTGCGCTGCACCAGTACAGAGATATTTGGGATATACTATAATAGAGATATATTTCTCTCCCTATCCTGAAGTACTGCAGTGTTCCTATCTCATCCTTCCGTCGTATAGTTATGGTGGTAACAGAGTATGTTCCAGCAAGAGCCCTTTTATCTCTTAATATATGAGATAGGAAATTGAAAGGAATGGAGGAAGAGTAAATATATCACTGCTCTAGAAAATACAGACACGGCCCAAGGGTATAAATGATAGTTGTAGTTCTTTTTATAGAGTCTCGACCGTCATATCGCAGTTTTTTCTCTAATGAAAGAGTTAAAGTTTGTATTATGTAATTCATACGTATCCACGTGACGTCACGTGCACAATCGTCCGAAAAAAGGAAAGTTAACGACAAACAACAAAATATAAACCAACGAACGACAAACATCAAGTCAAGGAGCTTGAAATGACAATAATGCATCAATAAAAGGTAGCCAGCGATGTTGAGTCGCAAGAAAGACCTCAGAGTTTGTGGGGGCCGCCGGTCCAGTTTCGAATGCGTTTCGTCCTTTGCGGATGGCTCCAAACAGACCCTGAGAAAGCCGTTGACGGGCCGAGCTCCAGCCTCGTTGGGCAAGTGATACACTCGCTGTGGGCCAATGATGATACGGCGGTTATCATGCAAGTAGTGCGCATCAAGCAGAGGTGGCCACGAACTCGAAGACCCTGTCGATAAATGCCCAGCTGAGAGAGCTGTTGGCCATGATTCGTCTGATGCTTGCTTTGTCGAATGGCATCAAGGTTGGTACATGAAGATGCGTTTCAGGTCTTTGACCATGCTGCATTTCCCTGGCCTCTTGAATGGTACAGACAGGGGTTCGGTTCTCCTTATTGATGCCTTTGAAAGGTGATATGCCACACCCTTAAGCGCTTCAATCAGAGTACTGGCTCTTTGCCGTTTCTTATATGAAGAAATGTGTCCCTGAGAATTTGGTCTTTTCTCGTCCATCAGTAACATCGGAGCGCCCGCCATCCAAGAAGTCCTCTATACAACATGACCATTCAACCTCCCAAGTTTACCGCCTTGGAACCGGTTACTGAAGATGAAGTTCAGGCCCTCAACCCAACCCGAAAAACACTCCATCAGAACATTATAGGCAAATTGAGACCTTTGCCCTTTCAGTACCGTTGGGCTGTATGGCATGAGAAGCACTCTGAGTCTACCAACTACGGTGATAGGCTATACCCCCTGCATGATGATGTTGCCGATATTGCGACCTTTTATCGGATATACAACAATTATCCATGGGGAAAGATCAAAGTCCGCGACACTGTGCATATTTTCCGCCGTGAGACGAAGCCCGTCTGGGAGGACCCTCAAAACTTGAAGGGAGGGTGTTGGACTTTTCGAGTTCCTAAGTCAAAGAGCCAGGCATTCTTCCATGAAGTAGCCATTCTTTGCATGGCAAATGAGTTCCAGGCCGCAGTGCAGTCCGGTATGTTCTACAGCCAAATAGCACCCTATCCCGCCTGCTGACAATCGTGTAGAGCGTGATCATGTTCTTGGAGTTTCGACATCTGCTCGATTCAACTCAAATTTGATATCCGTATGGAATAAACAAGGATATAACCTAAAAGCCATCAAGGCATTAGAGGAGGTTATACTACAACGTCTCTCACCCGAACTTCGTCCAACCGCCGAAAAGTCTTACTTCTACAAACGCCATGATGAACATGATGGGTACCAGGCTGCAATTGAAGCAGCACTTGGCTCTGCTACTCACCGGAGTAATACATTGGAATAGGCAGCATGCTTACCTGAAACTGTTTTGACCATGAGAAGGGGTGAAATAGTTGCTATTTATTTTTCTTTGCTTTCTTTTCTCACTTTATGAATTGCTCTAGCGCTCTTCTACTTTCTATTTTGTTGCATATATGGAGTTCAGGGATAATGAATTTGCTCGTTTATTACTCCTAAGATATCCATATTTCACCTGTTCAATACTAGCCTATTATGCGGGTCCCAATACAATCATATCAAAAACTCCGTGGAAATGCAACTGGTGGTACAACCCTTGGGCTCAAGGCAGAAAAAGTGTTTGGCACTCAACGACTTGCGTCCCGACGCCTACTCCTCCTGTCCTCTCTATCGACGCTGGTTCCTCGAGACTCCTTCTCCGTGGCTCCCGGGATATACCGATCAATATCAGGCAGTCGGTCTCTGTCTCTATCCCTTTCACGGTCGCGGTCGCGGTCCCTGTCCCTATCTCTGTCCCTATCTCTGTCCCTATCTCTGTCCCTCTCACGTTCCCTATCTCTGTCTCGGCCTCTGTCTCTATCACGATCCCTGTCTCTATCTCGCGACCTGTCCCTGTCTCTGTCTCTATCTCGATCTCTTTCTCGGTCGCGGTCTCTATCCCTGTCACGCTCACGATCACGGTCTCTTTCCCTATCTCTGTCTGGTGACCTGGCTCTCCGTTTTGGTGACCGACTTCGCGTTGATGTCGGAGGAACATACCGGTCAATATCACCTCCAGCGTTTCTTGACGTTGACCTGACGCGGCGGCTTCGGGATCTTGACCGTTCCCTTTCCCGGTATCTTCGCCGAGTGGTTGATCGAGATCTTGACCGAGACAGGGACTTGGATCTTCGTGCTGGTCTATGGGATGCGGCTCTTGAGCGAGATCTTGAACGGGCGCTGGGGCGATAGCTGCGATATTCGCCTCTACTCTCACGTTCCCGATCCCGGTCACGCTCCCTTTCCCTATCCCTTCCTCTTTCTCGATCTCTGTCCCTATCACGATCTCTGTCTCTATCCCTATCCCTATCACGGTCTCGATCACGGTCTCGATCACGGTCTCGTTCCCTATCTCGATCGTAAGGCCGATATTTATCCATGTCGTCTAGAACTCTGCTCCGGCTCCGAGTCCTGCTCCGTCGCCGAGACCTAGCGCGAACAGAGTGGTCGTCTCGGTCTCGTCTGTCTCGTTCTCCAGGCCGGTATACATCAAAATCACGAGGCCGCCTTTCTGGCTCTCTCCTATCTGAGTCGGCATCTCGATATTTGTCATCGTGCCTTGAGGATCTCCTTGTTCTAGTTCTGCTTCTGGACCTGCTGCGGCCACGTCGGCGACTGTGGCTACGACGACTTTCGCGGTCTTCTGTTCTTGATCTGACAGGGTCTTGAGAAGGGAGGGTCGATTCCGCTTTTGGCTTGGAAGAAGTACATCGAGTGGTAGTATTAGCAGGCTGTAAAGCTTGACCATTCTCCAGGGCTTCGGCCTGCTCAAAGTCGAACTCCGGCTTTTGTCGAGACTTAGCAGCAAGCTCTTTTCCTTCTTTTAGCAGCAGTTCAAGGGCTGCATCTTCCAGCGCTTTCTCATCCACAGGGGGAGCTGGAGTCTTATGCGCCCTGGATGTATCTCGTGGCGTACCACTCCCGTCTCTTCCACGGTCAAGATCTGATCGTCTACTTTTGTCTCTGTCATAGTCACGCTCCCGTTCCCGTTCTCGTTCCCGATAGCGTTCTTTCTCCTCTCGCCTTCTTCGTTCATATCGCTCCTCCCGCTCTCGTTCTCGCCGTTCTTCTCGCAACCTGTCTTCCTCGCGTTGCTTTTCCCTTTCCGCCCGCCGCTTTTGCTCTCGTTCCTCTCGTCGTTTCCGGTCTTCTTCCTCCCTTTGCTTTCGTAACTCACGTTGCCGCCGTTTCTCTTCGGCTTCAGCTTTCTTTCTTTCTTCCTCCGCTTTCCTTTCAATTTCTAGTTCTTTCTGTCTAATTCTCTCACGCTCATCTCTTTTAGCTTGAACCTGCTTCTCGTACTCGGCATCTGTGGTAAGCCCCTTGGCTATTTCGGCATTTGCTGCTTCCTGGCCAATATCTTGAGCGCGAATTTTGCGTAGAGAGGCTAGAATCTCATCAATATGGTTGGATATTATTGCGTCGACTGTTTCTTCTATCCCCGAATGTAGGTCACTGCGGTCAACGGCTCCAGAGATTAGGGTAGCAGCCTTCCCTCTCTCGCGGGATAGTAAGGACGGGTCACGTTCGATTTCCGACTCGGCCATTTCAATTAACGACGCTGTAAATGAGTTCTTAGCATCCTGTAGAGCAGATATATTAGCACAGAGTGGCGAGCAACGTAGGGAGCATATCACAACACACGCTATTATTAAATTTGGCCCAAACTTCTTTCCGGACAGCATCAAAGCCCCCTTTCTTCTTGAAAGAATATAACAGATTTTCTATCGTAGTTCGCTGGGCCGTGGAAATGGGCAGCTCTGACAGCTTGAATTTTTTGCGCCGGAGACTCTCCATGCTGGACCCAACGCGCTTCACACCAGCTCCTTCGGTCTCTGCTTCCGCCATACTGAGCTGACGCGCCTAAAACCACCGTGTAATGCTATAACGCTCACAGCAAGCCCGGCACATTATCGTCACAGAGCAGCGCTGGCACGTCAGTCGGCCTCCATGTTCCACTTCCATCAGGTCACTTTTCTTCCCACTTCATGCCCAATAAAGTTGGAGCTCCATCCTGCCCGGATGGACGATAGTCTGGCGGATAAACGTAATCCCGTATCCGCGACGGACGTCCATCGAATCAAGACCTCCCGAAAGCAAAACCGACGACTTCAAGCAGTCGAAGCCGCAGAGATCGAACACATATCGGCATTGCTCTCCCCCGGGGATGCTCTATTGACAGCCTACGATTGAGAGCAGAGCACTCGCGCTTTATTCCGGCCTGCTTGTTGCGTGGACTAGTTTCCCAGCCTCCCACCCGTGATTCCACAGCCACATTCGACACGACCCATCATGCCAGTCCACAAAGTGCTCTTCTGGAGCGGCTTCGGTTAGTGATATCTTTCTCTTCATCCTTATATGCCTCGGCTGCCCTGTACCTATTGGGTTCATCTCTACCCGCATGCCAATGGCTCTCTCTAAGATCGCATAGCCTGGCGCATCTTACTGCACGTGGAA